GCCCCGGCCCTTTGTCCCGTGCTGAAGGGTGGCCGGCCTCGCCTTGGGGGGTCTTCTGCCCGGGTTTGGGGACCCCCGTCCCCTCTGCGGGCCGCACCGCTCTCCCCTCACCCGCCTGCTTTGTTAGCTTGCGCTTCCACCTAGCCGGGCTAATTAGCAGAGGGCTAATTAGGGAGACCCGGTGTAAAAGAAGAATCTTAAGACCAGCGAGGTCTTAATTCCCGTGGGGTGAACCGCCTGCTGTCCTGAGCCGCCGGCGGGCGCCGGCCCCCCCCGGGGAGGGGCCCCGCCGCGGGGGGGGGGGGCCCGCCCCCTGCCCGGAGCCGCCGGCGGCCGCCGTCCCTCCCGGGGAAGTGGCTCCGCAGTGGAGGGAGGCGGATGCCAGAGCGAACTGGCCGAGGGAGGCTCAGATCAGAGGAGGAATCCTGCCTGAAATAACTTTACTTTTTAAAGCATCCTTAGGCACGCGAGGAATCCGGATCGCCGAGGGGGGAGGCAGAGATCCGGCCTGTTCCCAGCCGCGGTGGCTGAGTGCGATGATACGTTATGGGCATCGCCGGGAACAGTTCTGTTAGAGCTGATAAAGCCTGAGGCTGGCCGTGCCCGAGCGGAGCCTCTGGGATGGGTTTTTCCCCCCAGAAGATGGAAGAAGAGGTGGTCTCACACCTTCCCGTAGGCTTTCGTGTGAGCGTGGGGGTGCGGGGCGGCTGGTCAGGCTCAGATCCTGATGGGAAGAGCTGGTGCTGGGCACCCGCTCCGTCCACAAGGAGCAGTGCGGTTACAGGCAGTGTCCCCAGGGGCTTACAGAAAGGGCCCCCGTCACGTTAACTGCACGGGTGGCTCGTACGGGTGACAACCTGATAGCGGTAGGCTGGGGTCTGTGATGAGATTGGGGTTTACGCCAGGTACGTGATGTGACAAACAGGCGAGAGAAACTGGGGTGCATCGCAAGCGGGTCGGGATTGCTCTGGCTTTTGGTACACAGCAGCATTTTTTTTCTTTGCTGGGGCTTGTGCTTCGCCCTGTGCTGGTTACCACGTCTTGTGACTTGGATGAAACCCAAGCGAGTGTCGCTTGCCGCGACGCTCGAGCCCTTCGTGGCTTCCCCCACGCAGGGGGCCCGACCACACTCTGCCAGCTCCGAGGGAGCAGGAGCTGTGTCGGGTACCAAAGGGCGCGAGTGGGACGGGGGCTCCGCTGTGGGACGGAGCCGGCTGGAGAAGTAGCCAGGAAGGCTCGGGGAGCCCCAGGTTGATGCTGCAGCGGGGCTGTGTGTGCTCAGCTGGGGCAGGGAGGCTCTGCCAACCCAGGTGCTGGACCCATGTCCTCCGCTAAAGGCAGATGCTTGTCTGTAAAGACAAGGCAGAAAGTTGGAGAGCGGGAGTCGGGGCGCCAGCGCCATGTTAGAGCCGCTCGGTGCGTCTTGGAGGTGGCTCGGTGCCTCTCGGTGGCGGTGCAGGCGGCAGGAGCCTGATGGAGCGGTTGTGGCTGGAGAGGACTGAGCGGCGCCCTGCCCTCACCCTCTGCCTTGAGGGTTCTCCTTATCCCTAGCAGCGCTCGTCCAGGGTGTGGGTGATGCTTCCAGGCGGTGCCCCTGGAGCCAGGATCCAAACCCCTGCGGTTCCTCCTCCCTCGCAGGGGAGGATTGACTGGTTTGTGCCGCCTGGGACTCCTCGCCAAGGTGTGCGCCCAAGCCCTGGTGGCACACAGGGACGTGACCGTTGCTGTTACTTGCCCCCGTGAGCAGCACCGGCCGCTCCCGGCCCCCTTCCAAATGTCACCGAAAGGTCCCAGGGTCATCGCTGGACCTTGGGGCAGCTTTTCTGTGCCCAGGACTGCCCTGCTTGCCCGGTGCTGGGCTCTGCTCGAGCCCCATTGCTCAACCATGGCCTCCCCTCACAGGGGAACAGGGGCTCCAGGGCTGGTAGTGGGTTTGGGGGCTTTTTGGGGGATGTGGCAAGCGTGAGGCCGCGCTGCCAGGGGATGTGTCTCCATCGGTCCGGGTGGTTTCCCAGCCCTCTCTGACGGGTGCTCTCTGGCTGCAGACATGCCACGGGCAAAGCCCAGCATGGAAACTTCCTGGTGGCCATCAAGCAGGAGAAGGGAGAGTCGGCACGGACGAGCGGCGAGAAGCCGCACGGCGAGGAGGAGGTGAGCTCCGGTGCCCGCATCCCTCCCCGCGCAGTCCCCGGGAGTGGGGTCGGTGTTGCCCAGCCTGGGGCTGTCCCTCCGCTCGCCCTTCAGCAGCCCAGGCGCTGCTGGGCAAGCCAGTGGCTGTGACTGTGGCCCGAGGAAAGGCCCCGACCTTCCCTCGAGGTACAGGAGGCCCAGGCGGGTCTGCAGGCTGCTCCTGCGTCCTGCCGGCACGATGCCATTGTGCGCTCTGATCCGTGCCGGCTTGTCCCTTTCCCTTCGCTGGGTGCCAGCCGGTGAAGAAGAGGGGCTGGCCCAAGGGCAAGAAGAGGAAGAAGATCCTTCCCAACGGCCCCAAAGCCCCCGTGACGGGCTATGTGCGTTTCCTGAACGAGCGGCGTGAGCAGATCCGCACGCAGCATCCTGACCTGCCCTTCCCGGAGATCACCAAGATGCTGGGGGCTGAGTGGAGCAAGCTGCAGCTTTCGGAGAAGCAGGTACCGGCCCCCAGGAGAGACCCCCCCGGGGCTGGGCAGCACGCTCCGGAGCCCGCGCCCCAAACCCCTTTGCTCGCTGCTTGGCTGCGGCTCCACAAAGGGAGCTTGTCCCAGTACTGGTGGGCTGGTGAGCAGCAGCTGGGCCTCGAGGAGTGGGGAGGGGTCAGCAGCCCCCCGGGGAGCCTGGGGCCGGGCCAGGCTGAGGACCCTCTGTGACCGTAGCGGTACCTGGACGAAGCGGAGCGGGAGAAGCAGCAGTACATGAAGGAGCTGCGGGAATACCAGCAGTCAGAGGCCTACAAGATGTGCACGGAGAAGATCCAGGAGAAAAAGATCAAAAAAGGTGAGTTGTGGGAGCAGCGGCTGCCAGCGCCGCTGCCAGGATCCGGCCCAGCGCTGCCAGAACCTCTCGAGGGGTGCTGGGCTGGCTGCTAGGGGTAAGCTCCTTCCTCGTTTCCAGAGGACGCGAGCTCAGCGGCATGCTGAACGGGCACCCGCACAAGGTAAGGCCCCGGCAGGGCTGCCCGTCTGTGGGGAAACTGAGGCACGTGGCGCTGCTGGGTTCGGCCCGTGGGAAGCAGGCTGGCGGCAGGTTTGGGCAGAGGGAGACTCACGGGTTGTGCTTCAAGGCACGAACTTGCCATTGAAGCAGAGCCTGGAGTGGCAGGAGGCAGAGCGCAGCTGTCCTCTGCCCATCCTCCCTGCCTGCCCCGGCAGGGCCACCCCTTCCCCCGTCCCTGTGCCTCCTTTCTGCCCAGCCCCAAGGAGACGGGGTCCCCTTCGGTGGGCTCAGCCCAGCCTGATCCGTCCCCTCCCGTACCCCAGGCTGGCGAGTGCAGCGACACCTTCTCCACCTTCGACGTGCCCATCTTCACGGAGGAGTTCTTGGACCAAAACAAAGGTGAGGGGCTGGGCTGTGGGGTGGGGGCTGTCGGGCTGCGGCCTCTTGCTTGGGGGACGGCTGCAGCAAGCAGCGCCGCTGCCGGAGCAGCCTGCATCCCGCGGGGCAGGGCCACGGCTGGCGCTGGGTGTGCGAGATCCAGGCTGGAACCTGGGGGTTGGTGATGCTGAGCCTCTCGGAAGAATCGTGGCTGGGGAAGGGATTGGATTTGGGATGGGAGGGAGAGTCAGAGGGGCCACCCCTGCTAACGCCGTGCGGTCCCGGCAGCCCGGGAGGCCGAGCTGCGGCGCCTGCGGAAGATGAACACGGAGTTTGAGGAGCAGAACGCCATCCTGCAGAAGCACACGGAGAGCATGAACTGTGCCAAGGAGAAGCTGGAGCAGGAGCTGGCCCAGGAGGAGAGGCAGACGCTGGCCTTGCAGCAGCAGCTCCAGTCCGTGCGGCAGGCGCTCACCGCCAGCTTCGCCTCCCTCCCCATCCCCGGTGAGTCCGCAGCAGCCGTGGGGACCAGCTGGGACCCAGTGGCCATGCGGATGGCCGCCACTGGGGCTCTGCACGTGGTATACGTGGGGGCAATGGGGTGGTGGTAAATGCTCATTTGCTGATGGGGGGGGGTCCTGGAGCACTTTGGGGGCTCTCTGGGGAGCCCAGGGATGTGACAGCCGGTTGGCTCCCCTGTAACGGGGTAGGGCAGGCTCGGCCCTGTCCTCCTCTCGAGCCATAGCCACAGCTGCACTTGCCAGGCAGAGATGAGCCCAAATCCTTTTGTTCCTGGGCTTGTGTCGATGTGGGCTCTCTCCTGCTGCAGGAGATGGCACCTAGTGTTCAGGGTCCCTTCCCCAGTCACCAGCACGATGGGCAGGGCTGGAGGGGCGCTTGCTGGCCCTGCTAACTGGGCTGCTGCCTCACAGGCACTGGGGAGACCCCCACGCTGAGCACTCTGGACTTCTACATGGCCAAACTGCACAGCGCCATCGAGAGCAACCCGCTGCAGCATGAGAAACTGGTGGTGCGCATCAAGGAGATCCTGTCCCAGATAGCCAGGTGAGCTGGGCAGGGCGGGCCGGTGCCAGCACCCAAGGGCCCCGGCGAGCACTGGGACCACTGGGTCAGCCCGTGGCGGGGTGGGCGACAGGAGCTGAGCAGGAAAGGTGTGGGCAGAGAGGGGCTCAGAGCTGCTCCAGGCAGTTGTGGGAGAGAGAAGCCAACCCCTGTAATTCAGCCTTGCTTTCCTCCCTCTTCAGCGAACACTTGTGAAGAGGACCAGTCCCTCCCAGAGCCCGGGGCCGGCCGGACCACGGCCCTGTCCCTTGGAGCTCTCGCAAGGGACAGTCTCTGCTGGTGGTCCGGCTGCTTCCCCCTCCACCCCACGCACCTCGCTGGAGAAGTGAGCTGGGCCCCCCCGCCAGCCCCGGTGTGGCTGGGCCCTGTGGCTGCACCATCTCTGAGGACCTCGAGCTTCTGGGGACCAAGCAGTGACAGGGCTGAGAGACCCCAGCCGGTGGCACGGTGCTGGGCGAGGTGGTCAGCGGTGGGTGGGAGCATCCCCCCGCTCCCCTGCGAGCTCCCCGGCTCCTGCAGCCCTGCCTCGCTAAACCAGAGACTCCCCAAAGGCAGATGAGGTGCCTGCGGGTGAATCGGCCTCTTGCAGGGTGACCCAGGGGCTGTGGTTAACCGGCCTGTGATGGAAGGGGGGCAGCCGGGTGCCCTGGGAGCCCCTGGGGCTCAGCGCTGCCTCCTGGCCCCTGGATCAGCCCAGGGAGCCTCTTGGTCCCCCATCCCGCAGCGGGTGAGGTGGCAGGCTTCCTTCCCCCCGCCTCTTGCTTTATTTAATCTTCCCCCTTCCCCTTGCTGCTCCCCCGTGGGTGCCTTCAGCCCCCTGCCCGTGTCACCCTGCCTGTCACCTCTCCTTCCCCCGCGCCTCTGGGACCAGGCAGGGCAGCTCCTGCCCTCTGCAGCAGTGAAGGCAAGGAAAATCTTCATGGCGGAGGGGGAGCTGGGACCGGCCTCTTCCTCCCCACGCAGGGAGCCCATGGGGCGGTGCCCAGGCTTTCGGCTCCTGCCCGAGCCCGTCCTGCATTGTGGGACCACCGTGACGGCAGCCGTGCCGGGGTCGGCTCTCCCTGGGGCTGCCTGTCACTAATCTCAGACTGTAATTAGAGAGTATCTTATTTTCTTACTAGCACTACGTTGATCTGGCCCTGGGTTTAACCCGGGGCTGGTGTGCGACCGCTCGTCTCTCGCGTGCGAGGTCCGTGCTCTGTAGTTGAGTCTCCTGGTTGCCATCTCCTGGTGGCCGCTTGGCTTGGGATGGAGATGGGAGCAAATAAATGTGGGAGAAACAACCAGCCTGGGCTCCGTGTCTTCATCCTCAAGGGTGGCATTGGAGCGGCTCCTGGCCCTAATCCCAGCGGCTTTGGGGTGGGTAACGAGGGTGATGGCTCTGCGCCGGCCACTCTCCCACCTCCTCTGGCCCAGCCGGGGCCCTTCCTATGTGGCAGAGCTCACTTGATCCCAGGTGGGTGACCTGCGCCGCTGGATCGGGTTCCCAGGCCCGGGGATCGCCTTACGGCCAAGCCGGGAGCCAGCACCCATCTATAATTCAGCAGTGTCGGCAGCGGGATGCGGCGGGCGGGCAGGCGCGGCAGGCAGGCCCAAGAGGGCAGCCCCAGGGAGAACGGCGTGGGGCAGGAGCCGGGGACCCGGCCCACGGCAGCCCCACGGGGCGCATTGAGGGCTTCACCAACGTCAAGGAGCTCTACGCCAAAATCGCTGAGGTCTTCAGCATCTCGCCCACCGAGGGGAGGGGGCTGTGGCTGCCGGGGCGCGGGGAGGGGGCTTTGCACCCAAAGCGGGGAACGCCGACCCTGCGGCACCGTCCCTGGCCAGTCCTCCTGCGGGTCCCCGGCTGCTTGCAAATGCAGCCCCCAAAATGACCTGGAAAAGAGCGTTTTAATCTCAGGGCTGTCTCGTCTCCTCTGGGGAGCGGTTGGGTGGCTCTGTGCCTCAGTTTCCCCTCCTGGCACACAAGCAGGGAGCCGGCACTGCCTATTCCCTGGCTGATACCGGCTGCTGCGTAGCCTAGAGCCAAGGAAAGGGGACACAGGGACGGTGCAGCGCTGGGTCCCCGGGCAGGCTGGGTGTCCCCAGACCCCTCTGCTCTGGCAGCGCCCAGACCTGGCCGGATCTGCCCATGGCCAGCTCCTGCCCCGGCACTGCCACTGTCCCCCCGCCCTGCCAGGGCATCCCCAGCCCCTGGTGACGGGGGTTCCCTGGGGCAGATCCTCTTCTGCACGCTCAACACGCACAAAGTGGACATGCAGAAGCTGCTGGGGGGACAGATCGGCCTGGAGGACTTCATCTTCGCCCACGTCCGGGGCGAGACGAAGGAGGTGGAGGTGACCAAGACAGAGGATGCGCTTGGCCTCACCATCACGGACAACGGGGCCGGCTACGCTTTCATCAAGGTGAACCCCCACCGTGGGGCCGGGGGCAGCCCTGGGGGCTGTGGCCCTGCAGGGTGACATCCCCTGCCGGCACCCACCCCCGGGACTGTGCTCCTTCCCTGACTCCCCCACCCCCTCAGTCCCCCTGGGTCCACCCTGGCCCTGGGGGGGGGGGTCTCCCCTGCCATGGTGTAGCCTGGGGGGGACCCTCCCTGCCTGACCCCATTGCTAAAGGACATGGGACCACAGAGGTGTGTTTGTGCGGGGTGGGATGGGGACTACGTCTCTCTGTCCTTCCCGTGGTGCCACCTTGTCACTGTGTCCCCCCCGTCCCCCTCTGCGCTCCCCAGAGAATCAAGGAGGGGAGCATCATCAACCGCATCCAGACGGTGTGCGTGGGCGACAGCATCGAGGCCATCAATGACCACACCATCGTGGGCTGCCGGCACTACGAGGTGGCCCGGATGCTGCGGGAGCTGCCCCGGGCTCAGCCCTTCACCCTCCGCCTGGTGCAGCCCAAAAAGGCCTTTGGTGAGCCCGAGGGGTCCCCCTGCTCTCGCCCTGGGGACCGGGGGACCCCTGGGAGGAACGCGGGGAGGCCGATCCCCTCTGGCCGTCCTGCCCTGCAGCCCCCTCCCCAGGGACCGGGTCCCCCCCAGGGTCCTCCACCCGTGTGCACCCCGGAGCACCCCTGCATGGCACCCACGCGGGCATTCCTTGGGGGGCCCCACACCTGCTTGTGCTCCCCGTGGGCACCCCCGCTCCTCTGTGTGCACTGTCCTGGGCACCCATGAGCAGCGTGTAACCGTGAGCATCCCCACCCTGCACCCGGGGTGTCCCTTACACCCACGCTGCCTGTGAGCACCCCCTCCCCGTGCGTGGCTTACCCTGCGGTGCCCCCCGGGGTGCTGTGACGTGAGTGGGCTGGGGCTGGGTGATGACCGGGGTGGTGGCGGTGAGGGGCAGGAGGTGCCAGGCCCTGCCTACGCCCTCACCCCCCGACCCCGGGGTGCAGACATGATCGGGCAGAGGACGCGGAGCAGCAAGTCCCCGGGCGAGGGCAGAGTGGCCAGTGGGAAGGAAACGCTGCGGCTGCGGGCACAGGGCCTGGCCACACTGGAGGAGGGGGTAAGACCCCCGTCCCCGAGACCCCCACCCTGAGCTCGTGGCCACTCACACTGTGCCCAGGGTGGGGATGAGCATCCCCGTGCCCCGGGTGAGCCCTGCACTGTGCCTCCAGTGGGTGCACTGCAGGGTGCCCACGCGTGCAGCACCCATGGGCACGGCTCCGTGGGAGTCAGGGGGTCCCTGGGCTGTGCCCCCGTCCCCTGGCACCCACCCCCTGGGCCTCTCGCCCCCAGCCCAGCCCCTTCGAGGAAGAAGCTGCCCGCCAGGTGGATGACCTGCTGGAGAGCTACATGGGCATCCGCGACAGCGAGCTGGGTGAGCGGGCAGGGCGGGCAGGGCAGGCAGGGGGTGCCCATCCCGCGCCCTCGCCCGCCGCTGACCCTGCCTCTCCTCCTCCCCAGCTTCAACGATGGTGGAGGCGGCAAAGGAGAGCCCCAGCGCGGCTCAGCTCGCCTGCGGCTTGGACTCGGTGCTGGGCGAGTTTGCCTTCCCCCAGGAGTTCGTGGCCGAGGTGTGGGCGGCTGTCTGCCACCCCAAGGCGCGGCAGGAGTAGCTGGGTGGGGGTGGCAGTGCCCCTCACCTGCATCCATCCCCTCCCCACATCCCCACCCCACCTGGGTCTGGCGGTGCTGGTGGGGGGTCCCCATCCTGCCCCCTGCACCCCGAGCTGCACCTCGGTGTGTCCCCTGGGTTGTGGGGGGGGCAGCAGGGCACCTAGCCTCCCCCACCCAGGACCCCTCTCGTGCACCCCAAAACGTGACGGGAAGCGGCCGCGGCTGATTAAAGCAGAGACTGGAGGAGAAGGGCTGTTGCTCCGGGCGGCAATGGGGCTGGGGTCCTCCCAGGCGCTCACCCCCAGCAGGCACGGAGAGCTGTGCAAGCTGTGTTTTATTGGGGGGGATCACAGATGGGGACGGGCGGGGGGGAGCAGCCCCATGGCCCCTGCCCCGTCTTCCTCGGGTACCGGGCTCGGAGGGACGGGGAGAGCCCATGGATGTGGGTGACGGGGACAATTAATTACCCTGGGGGGTGGGATGGGGAGATGCCTTGCCCCCGCCCCCGGTACCTGTCCCTGGGGACCGCTACTGCAGAACGGAGTCGGCGGTGAGCTTGCGGCGCAGGGAGGGGTTGAGGACGGGGTAGAGGGAGACGATGGAGGGCCGGGGGCGCAGGCTGGGGTAGATGCGCTGCAGCACGGCCCGTCGGAAGAGGATGTAGACCCAGGGGTCCAGGATCTGGTTCCAGGTGACCATGCGGATGTAGATGAGCAGCATCTTCTGCGTGTTCGTGGGCAGCATCTGGATCTGGCCGCTGGCTGGCAGCTGCTGCAGGACGGTCTGGACGATGAAGATCTGTGACGGGGGAAGGGGGCACGGCGTCAGCGGCAGGGGGTTCACGCAGAGGCCATGAGCTGCCCCGGGCTGCTGGAGAGGGGTCCCGGGCTGGTTTGGGGCACCCGCTATCGGGGAGCACCCACTATCGGGGAGCACCCGCTCTGCCTGCAAGCGGTGCTGAGCCCCAGAGCCCATCACCCCGGTGCCAACCCAGGGTGCAGAGTGGTGGTGGGGGGGACACCGAGACCCCGGGCCTCACCAGGAGGGATGTGGAGGGGGGAACACACTGAGACCTGGGACCTCACCAGGAGCATGGGGGGACACCAAGACCCAGGAGTGACATGGCAGTGGGGGAACACCAGGACCCAGGTCCTCACCAGCAGGGGCATCCAGCAGATGGTGGCAATGATCATGATGCCCACGAGCTGCACCATCATCTCCACCTCGCTGTCCCGGCGCCGCTGCACCGACTCCCGGTCGTGGTAGACACGGCAGAGCGTCACAACGCTGACTGTGTTGAAGACGAAGGAGAGCAGCACGGAGAAGATGCCCAGCAGGGCGAAGAGCAGGCAGAAGACGACATTGCCAGTGTCGGGCAGGAGGGTGAGGAAGCACCAGGAGCCGGGGTACTGCAGCGTGTACCGCCCCAGCCCCAGCACCGGCAGCAGCCCCAGCAGGCAGGCAAAGCCCCACACCAGCCCCACAATGGACCAGGCGCGGCGCTTGGAGATGCTGGTGGAGCGGGAGAAGGGGCGGTTGATGCCGAAGAACCTCTCGCCAGCCATGGTGGCCCCCAGCAGCAGCGGACACTGCCCGAAAAAGACCATGGAGAAGCCAAGGAAGTTGCAGAGGTGGCAGCTGGAGTCCACCTCGGCCCAGGCGAACTTGATGAAGTGATAGGGGATGATGACCGAGGCCGTCACCAGCAGCCCCATGAAGTCCGTGACTACCAGCCCGCAGAGGAAGACGAGGAAGGAGGAGCGGGCCCGGCTGGACAGCTTGCGGGAGGAGCTGAGCAGGACGCAGAGGGCGAAGAGGTTGGAGCAGAGGCCGATGAGGCCGAAGGCGGTGGAGAACCAGGGCGAGGTGATGCTGTTCTGTGCCTGGCCATGGCCGTCACTGGCATTGAACGCCCCGAAGCACGTGTCCGACCGGCCGGCTGCGCTGCCATTTTGGGGCTCCATATCCCCCCACCCCATCCCGCTCCTGCCGGCAGCTTCAGGCGGCCTCGTGGCTCAGCTCCATGGCGTGTGCCCCCACCGGTGCTGGCACCGATCCCGCCTTGCCCTGCAGGGACAAGGAGCGGGGTTTAGGATGGGTCCCCCACGGCCAAGCCCACCCATCACCCACTGTGAGCCTGCAAACGTGGGGCATCCCACGGGCTGCGGAGGGGGACAGGGGACACCACACCAGGACCACAGCATGCGCCGGGCTGGCAGCGCTCTTGGTGCAGCCGCGGCAGCGGGGGGAGAGGGGCCCAGCCTGCAGC